ACTTGAACAACGGAGACGTAGTTGAAGTTTCTATCGAGCAAATCGGTACTCTTTCCAACAAGATGGACTTTGTCTAGGTGATAAATATGGATTATCAAAGTTATATATGATAGATTAAATAGACGATTATTTGCGCCAAGAGATTCAAAATTGCATTAAAACGTTATATGTTTGATTTATTTTCAAATAAACCGACCTTAATGCATAGAGAAGTAATATTTAGAGTATCATTAATTTTATTCCCTATGTACCTAAAACCTAAAATAATTAAATTAATTTTGTTCTCAAAAGAATTCACTTTCTACCCCTTCAATAAATTCTGTCTTTGAATCTCCAAATATTGCGATCTTAGGTGCGCACATGGTAAAGTTCTCATCAAGAAGAGTTGGTCTCACCATCGAAACCTCACCGTTATACTTCATTGGTAGAGTACGGATGGTTGAACCGCAATTTCCGCAGAATTCCTTCTTCTTTGGAGAACCAGATTTTGTATTGGTTACAATAAACTCCTTCAAACACGATTGACTATCCGTAATTTCAACGTCACTTGTGTTGTAGTATGATAACATTTGGCCCAAATGGCCTGAACCTTTACGGCAATCAACGCAATAGCAGATAAAAGATTTAATTGGTTCGCCTTTGAAGCTAATTTTAATTGCACCGCATTGGCAGTCTCCTTTTGAAATAAGTGTTGACATGTTTAAAATAATGGTATAGATGGTTTGTGAAAACTCTGGTTACGGATGTCTGAGATATATATAGGAGTTTGTATGTACAATATTTGGCTCTAGCGTGTTAAAATGCGAAAAGGGGGGTGGGATACATGAGACCGATATATACTCCACAATTTTCGGTACATTCGCTTAGCATGTTCCTAATACAAAAAAATGTATTCGCTTAATCAGTCATAGGGGTTTTTCAGCGTTAAAAAATTAACCATCCTATAATAATATCGTTGTATATAATTTTTTTTCTATTCATTTGCCTATATTATCACTAGTCTGCATTTTGTTTATGAAATTAATTTAGGTGTTTTAAACTTTTTATCTATTCTTTACCTAAGTGAAGATTTTTGAACATTTCTTTTTTTCAATCTGGATCTTTGGGTTGAATTATGTAAGGTTGAGAGATTAAAGTGCGTTCATTAATTTTTCTTGGATATTTTTGCAACCAAGCCGCACCAAGTAATGCGTCTTTCAGAAAAACAGATACCCCCGCACAACATGCCAATCAACCAGAAGTAGTCAAAGTATACAATTTTTAGTGAGTAAAAGTATTTTTGTGCCGCTTATGTAATTCAGTCGTATCCGATACACCTGATACCTGAGGAAATAAAGTGATTACTATAATACCTCCACATCTTATCATGGACTCAAAGTCTGCGTATTTTAATAAAGTATATCGGATGGGTTAGTATTCCGTTTGATTAGCACTAAATAACGGACCCGATGATCTTCTTAAAACTAATGTACCATTCACAGCATGCAGTACACCTTTCGGTGGTACCAGGAAGTTAGAGCCGAATTCTAGGAATCGCGGTTACAAGATCCGATAACAAGACGTCTATATATGGATGGACCAATCTCTTAAGATATGTCTATTTGTATCAAAATCTATTCTTTCATTCCATTAGTTATTTATTAAATAAAAATATGGTTCAATTTAACGTTATTGTTTGCGGTGGTGGTCTCGGTGGTATTGCCTGTGCCATTGGCTTAAAAAGAAAAGGACATAATGTTACCATTCTTGAAGGTGCATCGCAGTTAAACGAAGTTGGTGCTGGTATTCAGATTCCTCCTAACAGTGTCAAAATTCTTGAGAAATACGGACTCTTGGACAAATTTTTACCATTCATTACCAAGCCAAAGAATATTAATCTCAGAAGATACAACACTGGTGAAATTATTAGTCGTACACCATTAGACCCAGATATGACTGATAACTACGGCTATCCATATTTATTGATTCATCGTGCTGATTACATTAGATTATTATATGAAGCAGCCACTGAAATGGGTATTGCTTATAAGACTAATTCCAGAGCTGTATCCGTCGACCAAGAAGCTATTACCGTTACAACCGCGTCTGGTGAGGTTTATTCAGCTGATGTTATCGTCGGTGCTGATGGTATTCGTTCTGTAGTTCGTGATACTGCAGTGGTTACAAGTGAAACAGTTCAACCAACCCCTTCTACCAACTGTGCTTTCCGTGCTACTATTCCAAGAGCCGAGATGTTAGCTGATCCACTTGTTGCCCATCTCATGTCCGATATCAACTCGAACTGTTGGATCGGTTATAGAAGACACGTCATGGCATATCCAATTAGAAATGGTGAGTTATACAACATGGTTATGTCTCACCCCGGAAAAGCTTCTATTGGAAAATGGAGTGAGCCTGGTAACCTTGAAGAAATGAAAGCCCACTATAATCACTTTGATCCAATTGTTCGTCAACTTCTTACTCACGTCAACTCTGTGCTTAAATGGGTCCTTGCTGATTTGCCAATGCTTCCACGTTGGGTGAGTGATAGCGGAAAGGTTGTCATCATTGGTGATGCTGCTCATGCTATGTTGCCATACTTGGCTCAAGGTGCTGCTCAAGCTATTGAAGACGGTTGTAGATTAGCTGAAGAATTGAGCAAATGTTCTTCAACCGATGATATTCCATCTGCCCTCAGAGGTTTTGAAAGATTGAGAAAGAAGAGAGCTGATACCATCAAGGCTGGTGCTGCTAAGAATGCTCATATCTGGCATTTACCAGATGGGGAAGAGCAAGAAGAAAGAGATGCCCTCATGAAAGCCAGAGATGGACATAATCCGGACCAATGGTCCGATAGCGAATTCCAAAGATGGTTATTTGGTTGGGATGCGTTTACTGATTAGTTATTTATAGATACCTCATTATAGGCCAGTAAATAGATTTTATCGGTACTAGCGCTACTTTCATTTAATAAACACACCAAAAGATTATGAATTATCACATATCGTATCTAATATCGTATCTAATTTCTTATTCGGGACATACCATTCTACTTACTGATATCAATTTTGTATCTGTTCTGAATAATGACAATTATAGAATTATACGTTGGACGCGATTTTGTAGAATGGCTAGGAGACGAAAAAAATATGTAAGATTATACTCGCTCGTTTCGGTTATGCACCGTCGATAGTTTAAAGTTAGTAAATATAAGCACCTCGTTTTTGCGTCAAAAATTCGGAAAATCAGTGTGAATGCTTCACATTTTCTAGATGATTCAGCTTCTTCATCACTCAGCTTGCTACCGTCTACCGATACAAAACCCTCTTTCATGAAAGACATGGCTGCAGATTTACCGTAAAAATACTTGTCTTTAGTAACATCTGGGGTTGCTCCCGACCCAGTCCTGATAGCATCAGTTGTCGAATCTTCTTTTAGGCTGTAACAGTATTTCCGACTGAGACCTCGAATTTTACAGTTGTATATCCGGTGCCAACTGAGCCTAGAAGTTGAAGTATCGTCGTACGAAACCAATTTGTGTGAATCAGTCTCAGGGATTCCGTTTGCTTTATTCTTTATTCTTTATTTCTTCATCATTATCATCATCGTCGTCATCATCATCATCATTATCATCATCGTCATCATTATTACCATCATCGTGTTGAGTTTGTGCGTTACATCTACATTACGTATGACACTTGACCCGCGCTAAAAAGCTGTGTAGATTATATAATATTATACTAAAACCGCTTAAAATTATTTATATATAAAGTTCATCTGAGCAAGGATTGACTCCGAGCAATGATCAAAGATTATGACATGAGTAAGACAAGTTCCAACAATAATAGTTTTGTGGATCCCATAGCATATGAGGGAACTGAGCGTAATCAAATTTTACAGGAGCAAGCAGAAGTCAAAAAACGGTTTAATGTTTTTGATGGCGAAGTAGAAAGTCATCGCAAGGAAGAAGAAGAGAATATTAGTAAGAAACAGTCGATATGGAGAGCTATACTACAGATTTTACGTCCAGGCCACATACTAAATCATCTAGATTATGCTTCTTTCAAAATTGCGTTTAGGACGTGGGTACAGATTTGGAGTACAGTAATACTAGTAATAATTCCGAAAACAGTCACCTGGATAGGATTTGCGCCTTATTTAATGCAAATTTTTGGATTCATTACTGCACTGGGTGGTCTTCTGATTATTCATTCTAGTTACATCAGTATAACTAGTTTCTTCTACTTAATGGTATCCTGGCTTAACGTAACCATAGCTTTAGCTATCACAAGCAAACTACGGGGTTGGAAATCCAAAGAAGATTTAGTGAGACTTCTTATTTCTGATGGTTCATGTACAGAGGAAAATATTCAAAGTTGTATGCTCACTGAGATATTTAGTGGAAGGTTTTTGGAAACAAGATGTTCAGTTATCTTTATATTTTCTATAATGTTTGGAGTAGTTATGTATGGGATGACTATGTCATATAACATGACTTTAAGACCAGCATATGTTTCAGGCATCATTGGAACTGTTGCTCTTAGTTCCTCATATGTCGGGTATCCTATATTTATGCCTAAAGAAGTCGGGTATCAGGTTGTAAAGCCGTTGAGTTTAACGATTGCAATGAGAATTATAGTGTCAATATTGATATTTCCTACAACATCAAGCTTTTTATATTTAGATGGAACTCTGAAGGTCTTGCGTAATCTGAGAGAAACAATGAAAAAAAATACTAGTTTAATGAAATCATTGAGGCCTTCTGCTCCCGGCTTCACAGATTATCTGAAGCTTTCTGAAGAAGTCACTGATTCAAAAAACAAAATTTCAATGCTTGAATTTTTAGCCAGTACGATTAGATTCGAATTTTCTTTCGGAAGACTTGATGCTGGGGATATTGGTGAGCTTAGAGTCCTATTAAAAAATTTAATTACTCTAGGAGCAAACTATGAATATTTTTATCAACTACTTCATGAAAGAAAAGAGGTTGTAACAGAAAATTTTAAAGCTGTTAACCATAATCCAAGTGTATCATCATCAAATTTTGCGGATTTGCATGATCACTCTAAACTTTTCACTGCATTGAAAGAATCTTATAAACCAGTTGGACAATTTGAAAATTCACAAAGGATTCATCTTTTGAAAGAAAAGATTAATTCATATAACTCTGAAGATGGTTTAACCTTGCTGGATTTAGATGATATATGCGATTTTATAAGTACGCATTTCATGTCGATTTTAGATGCAATTAACCTTGGTTTAATGTCCATTGAAAAGTGGATGGATGCAGCAAATAATTTTAGAACGTACTCTATAATTTTGCCAGGGAAATACTCAGAGCATAAGGAAAGACAAAGAAAGTGTGCTGATGATATTTTGACGGCTAAAGAGATCTTAGTGGGGGAAATAGAAAAATACAATAGTTTTGAATTTCTTGAAAACCTCATGCATGATAAAACCAGAAATGAAGAAGCACTATTATGTCTAATTAGTCAAACATCGTTGTTCTTAAACTTATCAAAAGATTACTGTAGAGGTATAATTCGAATTGTTGATGTATTTATTTCCATCGATGAAGTAAGGCTGACTCCAAAATTTATATCATGGTTTACAACATTACGAAGAGACAAACCGGAAAATATAAATAGTGTGTTCTCTGTTGGGGACCCTAATGAAAGCTCGTCTAGTTTCTGGCAAAATACTGTTTCGTCCCGAGATGCTGATGCGTTGCCTCCGTCACATATTAATCATTTGATTACTAGAAAAGTTCTTTCTTTATGTTCATTATTATTGGATAAACATTTCTTATTTTGGGTACGAGTTGCTGGTTATATGGTAATTTCCTTTATTCCTAATTTTTGTAGAACAACTGCAGGTTGGTATTATGCTAATAGACTTTTTTGGATTCCGCTTATGTGTGCTGTGACGGTTTCTGAATATTTGGGTGAAACTATTTACGGTACGCTGGTTAGGATTGTTTACCTGTTCATAGGAGGTGTAATTGGGATGGTTGCATGGTACATCTCAACTGGTAATGGTACCGGTAATTATTATGGATATGGTGTTGTCACTGGTATTTTGTATTTCATTTTAAGTTACTATAGACACTTTGCGGTTCATGAAACTGTTACTCCATGCATTTTATTGTGTGTGACTATTGTCTTGATAATGGGAACAAGTTGGGAAGATGCAAAATACCCACAAGAGCTGGTTCTGCTTGGATATGGGTTTTCTGCGGCATGGAAAAGACTAGTTGCTGTTACAATTGGTGTTGCATTGAGTTGCTTAAGCAATTTGTTTCCAAAAGTAATGACAAGCAAAGTCATAATAAGAAAAATTTTAGCTCAAGCTTTAGATAAAATTGGTAACATTCATTGTGATGTTTCACGATTTGCTTTTATGCGGATTAATAATCCTAGTCACCATATTTTATTGAGACACGATCCAATACTTGAAAAATACCGTACAGTGCTTATGAAACTTGCTTCTATTTCAAAAATGATCGGTCCAATTAAATATGAAGTTCCAGTTCGTGGTGCTTGGCCGCAACAGAAATATGAGAGGTTACAGACGTTGGTTACTGATGTCGTTCAATTATATTTAATGCTCCATACAGCTTTCAATGAACTTGAAGATCCGCAATGTTGGGGCCCAATGATCATAGATAGGGTAGGATGGTCTGATGTGTCGATGAATGCTGATGTGTTTTCAATCCTTCGTATGGCCTCAGCTTCACTTAAATTAAAAATTGCGTTACCAAAAATTACTCAAGCCAATCTTTCATTGAAACATCTAGATTTACTTCGTTCCCAGTGGGGACTAGAAAGGATATCTTTAAGTGAAAGATTCTATGGCCAGGAATCATCTGAAACAGAGAAAGAAAATATAGAAGGTGATAGCTTACATAAATCTATTCTGAAAAACTTAGATTACAGCAAATTGTTCAGTAGTGATGGACAGTATAATATTATTGCTTTGCTATATGCTCATATGATTTACAAACGTCTTGATCAGATAATAATTATAATTAAGTCCTTGGTTGGTGAAGTATATGACTATGAACTTTCCATATTAAGTGATGAATATCAAAGCTTGGTGTCTCATATATAGTATTTTCTAGATCAATGTTCTATAATAAGAAATTCCCTTGAAGAAAAGTTACAGATAAAATAAAGGTCAAAATTTATTAAAATATAATGAAGAAAGTGAACAAATTGGTAGTCAATATAAATAACATAAGATCATATAATCTTTCAATAAACAAAAATTAATTTATATAGAAAATAATGGAAAAAATGAAACTGAACATTATGTTTTCGACAGAGGAGCATGTGCAATTATTAAAAAATAGAGCAGAAAATCTTAAAGTTTTCTGTATCTCAAATATACCAATTTATGCACAAGCTAAAGATGATTTAGTTATAAAAATCAAAAACTGCGAATTTACAATTAATGCTTACTGTATTCCCGGAATTCAGCTGGATCTAAGTTTCAATGATTTATTAAACAATGATTTTATGATACTATTTGATAATGATTATCTATTTCTTATTAAAATATCTAGCTGAGAATGCTTTAACATCGCTAAGAAAGACGTGAATTCTAATTTGTTTACAAATATTACATCAACGGATAGTTTTACTATGAAAGTATCTCGAGAATCTATATCTGAATTAAATAAAATGAGTCAAGATATTATTAATAAGAAAACATTAAATTTCAATAACGAATACATTAAAATATCGAATATGAATCATGAAATTGTTAATCTGTTTGAAAGAAAAAGTTATTTAATCTTATGGGTACCATATATCTTTAGAAAGTATAAAATACTTAATTAAAAGTGGGTATATAAAAATGAATCATGAAATAAGAGCTTCTGAAGAAGAACAAGTTAAATCTTGTACTGTGATTAACAGTAAATTCAAAACAATCTTCAGATAATCATACCCATTTTAGAGCCACTAGAAGGTTATTCAGATTACACTCAGATACATTAGGCATATTTAATTACCGAAGAAAAAGGTATTACAATATTAATAGATGAATTCTCCGGTTACTTTATGGTGTGACCGTAAAACTATTCAAAGTTTATTATTTGCAAGAAAAAAGATTTGGAATAATAAATTTGTAGGGTAAATGTTGGTTTCTTTAGAACTGATAATGTATTGGAAATGTCTACTAAAGATAAATTAGCAGAAATCGCATTGAAAAAGATGAAACTGCGTCATATAACCCAGAATTTAATGGGATTAATGAAAGAACTAATAGATCCTTGATTCAATTTATTAGAAAGGCATTATTACCTATATAAGATACGAGAGCCCTTTATCTTTTACCTAAAATTGTTGACTACGTAACATATATAAGGAATATGACGCCCCAGTTCGTTGAAAAGAAGGTCTGTGTTCATATACATTGTTCTATGATACAATCTTAAGTAAAAATATAAAATAATCGTGTAGATGATAGGCTTACTTCACTTATTGAGGTTATAAAGAATGACCCGGATTACGATAAGGATATTAATTATGATAGCATGTAGTATGTTATCATATGATCATATTCATTGTTATAGAAGAAGGGACCTCCAAATGGTCCTTCAGTATTATACATCAACGAGTAAAGTAAATCCGCAGGGACTTCGGATTCGCTCGCAGTCGAGCAGCATTCTTTTTGCTGGTGATTACGAGCTTGTTTAGATCGCTTTTGACTAGCAATTTATCTTATCGTTCATCATTTCGAAAACCTTTAAACAGCTGGCTGCGGATTTTGAATGTGGCTTATAGGAAAATAGTAATTTACTCATCATTGTCCAAGATGATTCAACTTTATTTTATCCAAATCATCCTGTAGGTAAGGTTGAAGTTTTGCAGCTAACAAAACTGATGCAGCCGTATATATATAAAACACATTATACCAGATAGCAGGTAGCAAAGTTATGTCAGCCGATCTATACCTACTTATCATACTAATCAATTCCATTGCGGTATCGACGCATAATGCTGAGATAGATCTCTGACTGGACATGTATAATTCCGTACGATTTATCCCACTATTAAAAACTTGATCTCTATTCTTAGGAAATAAAACAGGTCTGTAAAGCATTATTTTCAAATGCAAATACCTTATATGTAATACAATACTTTGTCGCTGATATGGTGATTCTAGCAACCCATGGCCAAACTTAATATGGCTTGGAATATTATCTTGAAAATCATATAGTCTTTCTTGGAATTTGAAAATACT